CCCACCCACCATACGCCGGCCACCGGCCGGACCCCAACTCGGTGCGCGTACCTGCAGGCGGAAACCTTCTCTCCGCCTGGCTTTGCGGTGAGCAGCAACCCCTTCCTCTCTCCCGGCTCCGTCTCCTACCTCTGAGAGAGCGGCGGGCCGCGCATTCGGTGGCTCCGGCTACCATCCTACTAGCATGTGGCGCAGCCTCCTGGCATAGGGAGTCGGGGCGAGCAGCCCCTTCCCGACTGGCCGCACGGCCTACCTTGGTCGAGGCGCTCGCCCCGGGAGAGCCTTGAGAGGAGCCCGGTACGGCTCACTCGCTGGCGCAGCAGCGGCACACGGCTTCTGATCGAGCAACGTGCGACGTGGGCTGCGGCCGGCCTCGCGAGGCAGCGATGTGTACACCATCGTCGCGCCGGGCAGTTCATGCGCACAGACACACAAATATCACAATCGTCGCGTCCTCCTCTTGTTTGTACGTTGTGAGACCGGTTGTGTACGTTCTACGGGATATCTGCCGTTGCCTGGCTGGTCCATCCACTGGACTTCGCGGGGTACCCAGGCGCGAGCGGTACCCTTTCTTTGCGCCTTTGGAGCACTTGGAGCGTGTGCAGTGTTATATAGCAGCCGCACATCCACACACCTTCATCCAGGGCCGGGGAGCTAAGACTTAGGCTAAGAAGCGCACCAGCGGGCCAGATGATTGGGATCGGGTTACGGGCTAGATAGCCCTAGCCTTGGAGCAGCAATCAGCGCCTTTTTTCTTTCCAGTACGCGCCAGTCCCGTGCCCAGTCGTGCGAGGGAGTTTTCTTGTAAACTCCTGTGTTAGTGCCAGTGCGCGCCAGTCCCGTGCCCAGTCGTGCGAGGGAGCTTTCTTGTAAACTTCTTTTTAGGATGTGCCGGCGCGGTGTGTGTGCCAGTCCGCGCCGGCAGTCCGCGCCCTTGTGTCGTGCCACAGCGTGCTGTGTGAGAGGTTTGAGGTAGGTAGGTAGAAAGGTGAAGAACAGTCAGGCTCGGACTGGGCACCAACGCGGTATGCGTGGACGCTGGACAGATGATGACGACACGCACGAGCGACACACAGACACAAACAGGCTCACAAGACACACAGCCAGCTGGCTGCCACACACCCTGAGTTGGCGTACACATAACTCAAGGCCACATCCTCCCTGTCGCCCCCCCCAGCACTCCAAGGTGCCAAAGGACACAAACAAGGGCACAACAACACAACAGACGACAGGAAGTAACATGCGAGGCTAGAGCAGGCTTGCTCCACCTCTAGCAATCTCGCCGGCCGGCGAACTGGTTGGGTAGTAGTCTAAGTTCTGAGCCTCGACGCCTAGCGGGTCTAAGTGTGCCTAGGCACGCTGGGGTGCTTGCGCGGTCTAAGGTCAGCGGGAGCCTCTTACATCGGCTAAGTCGGCCGTGGCACGGCCTGGGGCCAAGAGGCTCCCACCGTTATCGATACGGCGCTCCGCCCAAATTTTCTTCGCCTGCGGCGGGCGCCTACTAAAATCCGGATCGATCCTCCTCATGCCTCAGCAATCGCCGCCTCAGCATCCATATCCATGCCAAGCACCGCCACGATCTTGAAGCAGAACACATCGCAACCGCATCGTCCGCACTGCCATCGGCATGCCGCGCCCGCCGCTTCGCCGCAGCCGCCTTAAGGCACGCATAGCGGCAGCACATGGTGGGGGGGGTACTTGAGCAGGCGTTGCGCGCCGCAAGTAGCGCACTGGCCCTGGGAGAAGGCGATATGGCGTCGTGCGCGGGCGGCATACGTTGGTCGGACGCGTCCAGGTATATTTCGGGTAAACCTGTTGACGTATCGGCGGCTAAGGCCGAGGCACGCCACTCATCGCCCCAGCGGTCCTGTATATCGCTGGACGGATGCGGAGTAAGCTCTCGAGGGCGCGAAGGGGGGGAAAGGAGGTGGAACGGGGCCGGTTGGGATGGTGCAGCGGCGGCTGCCGCGGCAGCGTGGGAGAGGCCCGCGTGGGAGAGGCCCTTACGGGTCGTATATCCCGCTTCAACGGCGAAAGAGGCCTCTTCCGCCGCCTCCCGGGCCGTCTCGAAGGGCCGACCAGCCCACGCCACGAGGCGCTGCTGGCGGGAGCCAAGAAGGACTCGTAAAGGCCTCAGAGTGCCATCTGAAGCGGGCGGCACTGGTGGGGCTAGAGGGGCTGACTGAGCGCCGGTGGGGCGGCTGAAGCTTGCCTGGCACGGGTTCTCGCGGCGCGTCCGTGTACCACGCGTCCAGGGCGCTGTTCCCACACCGCTCTGAGCGACAAGGGTGTGCGTGGCGCGGTCGAGGAGCGTGAGATGATCTATAGCGAGCCTCTCGCACGTCCGGTGAGCGGCAGAACCGGCCATCCCGCACGACGAGGGCGACGCGTGAAGGTGCGCACGCCATAAGGCAGCTGCGGGCCAGCACGTTGCATGGGATGATAGCGGCTGAGGGGGCCTGAGCATCGACGCGCCGCCGACAATGCACCTGAGGCCGCAAACGGCCAGGAGCGCGTCAGTTTCGGAAAAGTGGAACCACGCGATGACGAGCGGGGATGGAGTGGCAGGTTTCTGGGAACAGTAGTGGGATGAGGCAGACTCCCAGGATCCCGACGCACGGAGTACGTGTTGCGCGCGCAGCAGTGGTATCTGCAGCAGAGCCCTCTCGCGCCGCGACGGCTCTGCGCAGAGGGGTCCGTGGCTGGGCAACGGGCGCACCTGCGGTCCTGTAGCTGATGGACCTCGGCCAGCAGGCTCGCGGGGGGCAGATGTTGCTCTGGTTGCAGTCCCACAGGTCCGTTTGGCCGCGGCAGGCGGCCCGGGAGTGGCGCGCGCAAAGGCCGAACTGCCCTGTCTTGCGACTTGAGCCAGCGATCAAAAGCAGCTGGCCAAAGGTGTCACAACGGGCAGTTCAGAATTCTATGTGGCGCATTTAATAAAATCGAACACACCCGGGAGGGACGTCGCCCGTGAGGGATCTCGCCCGTGAGGGACGTCGCCCGTGAGGGACGTCGCCCGTGAGGGACGTCGCCCTCGAGGTATCGCGCCCGTGAGGGACGTCACCCGTGAGGGATCTTGCCCGTGAGGGATCTCGCCCGTGAGGGACGTCGCCCGTGAGGGACGTCGCCCGTGAGGGACGTCGCCCGTGAGGGATCTTGCCCGTGAGGGATCTTGCCCGTGAGGGACGTCGCCCGTGAGGGACGTCGCCCGTGAGGGACGTCGCCCGTGAGGGATCTCGCCCGTGAGGGACGTCGCCCGTGAGGGACGTCGCCCGTGAGGGATCTTGCCCGTGAGGGATCTTGCCCGTGAGGGACGTCGCCCGTGAGGGATCTTGCCCGTGAGGGATCTTGCCCGTGAGGGATGTCGCTCATTAGGGATAGGGACGTCGCCCTTGAGGGACGTCGCCCGTGAGGGACGTCGCCCGTGAGGGACGTCGCCCGTGAGGGATCTCGCCCGTGAGGGACGTCGCCCGTGAGGGACGTCGCCCGTGAGGGACGTCGCCCGTGAGGGACGTCGCCCGTGAGGGATCTTGCCCGTGAGGGATCTCGCCCGTGAGGGATCTCGCCCGGGATCTCGCCCGTGAGGGACGTCGCCCGTTGAGGGCTCTTGCCCGTGAGGGCTCTTGCCCGTGAGGGATCTCGCCCGTGAGGGACGTCGCCCGTGAGGGACGTCGCCCGTGAGGGATCTCGCCCGTGAGGGACGTCGCCCGTGAGGGACGTCGCCCGTGAGGGATCTCGCCCGTGAGGGATCTTGCCCGTGAGGGACGTCGCCGAGCCGATCAACCTGCGCAACTCGACCCTGTTCGTTGGACGGTGCACGCGCCACCTGCTCGTCTTCTACAAAGTCCTCATCGCGCTGCGCTACCCGGCGGTCATGCACGGCCAGCCTGACACCGTGCGTGAGCTGCAATCGTGCCTGGCCGAGATCGAGGGGCCCCTCGCGGCCGTGCGCCAGCAGCTCCTCGCGCTGCTGAACGCGCAGAACGCCTCTGGCGTCGCCAGCGAGACGTACGAGATGCAGTTCGCTCTCAATGAGCTTCTCGATTACTACCTCGAGATCAACCCGGGCATTACCCTTGCTCGCGCCAATCGCGAGGCGTTCGCCAAAAGTGGCTCGAGAAGTTTTACCAGCCGGGCGAGGCGGAGCAGGGGATCATCCGCCTCACCACACCGCACGCTGGCAAGGGCCTCGAGGCCGATGACGTGTACCTCATCAACCCGTCGATGTTCCCCATGGCGGACAAAATCGAGCAGGGGGGCGAGGAGGCGTTTGAGGAACTGAGCGTCGAGTACGTGGCCAAGACGCGCGCCAAGGACCGCATGGTGTTCCTCCCGGACCTCGAGGTGACCTCAAAGAAGGAGGTGCTGGGGCTCTTTGTCAAGCCGACGGTGTCCTCTCTTGGCGCTGCGCCCGTCGGTACCGACACCCCGTCCTCGAGCCAGAGCACTGAGGCGACCGACGTGGAGGGCGAGCGCAACACCGCGAGGGACGAGGCGCTTGCCACGCTCGAGCTCACACTGATGCCGGCAACAGTCGAGGAGTTGGACGCGCACGTGGTGACCCTGCTCCGCCAGGCCATGAAGGTGCGCTCGGCAACGCGGCGTGAGACCGCAAGCCCGGCGGCTCGAGAGGAGTCGGAGCGCCGCAAGCAGGCCATCACCGGCGCACGCAACGTTCTCCGCGAGGGGTTGCGCAACGCGCCGCTCCTTTAGACATGCCTTCCCTGTAACGCCCTCCGCTCGCTCCCTCACCCTTTGTGTCCTTTCTTTGTTCATTAGTGCCAGTCAGTGCGCCTTAGTCCTGTCCCAGTGTCGTGCGAGGGAGTTCTGCTGTGATCCTTTGTTCAGTACGCGAGCCGACGCATGAGTTGTGTGTTCACTAGCGATTTTGTGCTTTTGCCGTTTGTTTGGCGGAGCGAGTTCTTTTAGATTGGTGTTCCGAGGGGGGGGCGGCTCGCTGTCGCTCGCTCATTCCAAAAGCAACAGTAGCCGGTGTTCACAGAGCTCTGTGAACACCGGCGAGAGATTTTTCTCTCGACGTTTCTTCTGCGAAGAAACGTTCAAAACACTCGGTGTCGAAACACCTCTCCGACGCGCTCGACTATAGTCTGGTCTCTGGACTTTTGCAGGTTTATTTATTTACGAAGCCTCGCAATGTCGCGCCAACGGCTCGTGTAGAGTACGTCCCGCCAGTGTCCCCACTCCGCAGTCAATCCTCATTGAGTCATGTGCGTGTTTTATTGCGTGTCGTGATGAGCTGCGCCAGGTGGACCCACAGAGAAAGACACGGGTCTGCTCAATGTAAACAGTAAAGCCGCTCGCAACCAGTGCATCCATGCATATTATTATTTTACGTGTTGTGATTGTTTGTCGGTTCCACAGAATCGCCGATGAACGCGCCAACGCGCGTGCGTACTACTTTTTGCGGGTGGAGAACTCAACTGAGAACTGTCGGTGTCGCGACAATTAATATTAAATTGCCTTTCGGCTGAATAAAAACAATTAAACACAGTTTCTCTTTCTCCCGCTCGGCCGGGCCGCTTGCGCCGCCGTCCATGCCGCCGACAAATGCCTGAGGCTTTCCGTCGACCTACACCAACGTCGCTTGCGCCGCACAGCCCTTGGCTGTCTCGAAGATGCCAACAAAGGCGGGGCTATCGCCGAGAGGGAGGTCCTCGGCGGCCTTGTGCAAGGCGCCTGAGGCGAGATCAAAGTTCAAGAGCGTCAGGCTGTTGTCCTTCTGGTTGCCAACAATCAAGAGGCCAGCCTGAGACCCAGTCTTTGTTAGGGTCATGCTCCGGGGGTAATGACCCACTGCCGTGTAGTCCTTGAAGGTGAGGCTCTCGGCGCCGACCTGGAAGACGGCGATGCCGTCGCGCTTCTGCGTGCTGGCGTCCCGCACGGACACGAGCACGAAGCTGCCGCCCGGCGAGAACAGCACCTCGGCAGGGTAGAGATCTGGCGGACTGTAGGGCCCGGAGGCTTCGTAAGTGGCGATGGTGCTGAGCCCTTGGGCGGCGTCCACGCCGAGCAGCTCGATCGTTGGCTGGGTGGTCCCGTTTCCCTCGTTGGCGAGGACGGCGAGGGGCAACGTCGGGTGGAAGGCCAAGTGGCGCGGGCCCTGGTCCTGAGGCACCGACAGCGGCTCGTGGGCCTTGGACAGCTTGCCGCCCTCAAAGGTCAGCTGCTGCACCTGGTCCAGGCCGAGCGTCGGCACGTAGACGCCGCCGCCCGAGAGGTAGGTGGAGTGGGCGTGCGCGGAGGCGCCGAAGTCCACGGTCTGCGTGGCCTCGCCCAGGCTGACCGCGCTGTCGCCGCCCTGGGTGACCGGGAGGACCGCCACGGTGCCGCCGCCGTAGTTGGCCACGAAGGCGTGCTCGCCCAGGGGGTCCGTTGCGAGGTGCACGGGACCGGCGCCTTGGCTGCTGACGCGGCTCGTCTCCGTGACCTTGCCGTCGCAGCCGAGGCTGAGCGAGGCCACCGTGTTCCCCGTCTCACTCACCGTCAGCAAGCTTGTGAGGGTGCCCTCGCCGCGAGGCCCAGCCGCTGCGATCCAAGAAGGATTGCCTCCGGCGTTCGAGTCGCCAATCGAGGTGAGCGAGCCGTCATCCGAGAGCGCGTAGGACTTGATGGACGAACCCCGGTCCTTGTAAAGACCAACGAGCAGCACTCTGTCTAGCAGGGGAGCGGGTCCCGGCGATGGAGCTGTTGGCGCGAACAGGGTGTCGCGCTCGTTCGGGGTGGTCTGGATTTTGTCGCCGGCCTGCGCAGTGGGAGACTCGCAAAATGAGAGAAGGCCGCAGTAGGCGCGTGCGTGAGGGCGCACACCGTCCCGGCCACAAGGGCCGCCAAAGCAAACCAGCGAATGTAAAGCGTCATCGAGAACCTGAACATGGGAAAGGGAGGGAATGAACAAGAGCGAGGCGGCAGGGATCAGTGACGCACTGCCGTCTCTCGCGCGTCCACGGCGCTAGGAATGGCCGGGCGGCGGTGCGAGACGGCTGTGAGGCGGCGGCACAAGGCGGCGGTCGGTGAATGGTTGCTTGATGGACATAGGTGTGCAGATTGGGTGTTTCCACAAAATTTACCGTCCGTGAAGAGAGCTTGATTCATTAGGCTGCCCGCATGTTCAATCGTTGCCCGCAGCGGAGCTCCCCACCGGGGGCTTGAAGACACTGAGCCGAGCGCGCTGGCGGCGGACCGCCGCCGGCGCGCTCGCTTCGGCGGATGGCTGAGCGGCACAGTTCCTGGCCGCCCGGCCTGCGAGCTGTCGCCGCGAGACGATCGAAGGCGCTCAAGCGCGCCGCCATGCCAGATCTCGCCCCACGCCCCGACCAGACCAGGCAGTGCGTGCAGGAATGATGCAGGCATGATGGGTGGGTGGTGGTATTCACAGCCTTGTTATTGAGAAGAAAATACCTCCTATTCACATGCACTAAATTTAGCCCAAGCGCCCTTCCAAGTCTACAGGTCGGGGCTTCGGTTTCGCAACAGCTTCGTTTTCAGCCGTCGTGCAATTCGTGCCCGAGCCGTCCACAAGGCCGCCGGCACATTTGCCAATGTGCCCGGAGCGCAGGGAGTCGATGGGTGCCGCAGTGCGAGCGAGCACTGCAGCTGCAGTGCTCGCTCGCACTGCGGCGCTGCGCCACGGCGGCGAAGCATGTCTGGACTTCAAGGACAGCGCTTCTCCGCTGCTCGAGGCTTGCGGCACGGTCCAGGCCGACCACACAGAGCACCCGAGGCAGCTGGCGTGGCCTCACTCATGACCTGTGCTACCCGTCGGCGGGGCCAGCTGCGGTTTCACAACACGCCTCATTTTTGGCACCCTCCTGCTAGCCGCGCATGAGTAGGGAGACCGTGTGTGGTGTCTTCGCGGCCTAGAGCACCCTCTTGGCAGTCTATATTCCGGATTTTAGCCCTCCTGTCGCATCTGGTGAGCCGTACCATAGCGAGGACCAAACGTGTTGTGAAACCAAAGCAGGGACCTGTACCGGAAGAGACTGGGGTAGTGCCGTCGAGCGGCGCGCCGCGCAAGCCCGCTGCCGGCGGCCCGATCGGAGAGCTGGTAGTCGTGGTACCACTAAGCTCGCCATCGTGCCCGAGACAGGCCGCTCTGGCCCTGTAGACCTTCCCAGAGAGCTTGGCGAGGCTGTCCAGAATGCCGAGAGCATTCAGGCTGCCGTCGAGCGACGAGCCATGCTGGCTCGTCGCGGGCTGCGAGCTCGAAGACCCGCGCAGAGCTTCGCCGAGCCTGGCGTGCCCGCCCGCTCGCCCGCGGCCGCAGGCGTGGAAGCCAAGCATCATGGCGTCTCTGGCAAGCGCTCACACGCCAAAAGACACCTCGCAGCGCGCGAGACGTGACCAAAGCGGCACGTCTCGGCGCCGCGAGAGCAAGCAGCCGGTCGACGTCGGCACCAAGCGCGCGGCCGCCGGGCGCCTCCGAACCGGCAGGGGCGCCGCGGCAGTAGAGAGCACTCCACCGCATACCGTTTTTATGGCCCATCTACAATTCTTGGAGCACTTGGAGTGCAGTCATCAACCTCACATCCAGGGCCGGGGAGCTGAGAAGCGCACCCAGCGGGCCGGATGATCGGGATCGGGCTACGGGCTAGAGAGCCCTGACCCCTAGCTAGGGGGGGTGCGCGTTCGCAGGGAAAGGGCCGTAAAGTAAACACGGGTCTCCGAGGGTTAGTTCCGTGTACCGGGTTTCCCCTTAACTTCAGAACGCCCCCTCTACTCGGAGCTAGAAGACACGACACTGTACACCACGTACGTACACAGGTCCTCACTCAGCATCCCGTCCCAGGGTTCCACCGCCCGCCTTCCCCGCGGGGCACTTGGAAAAAGCTATTCTTTTTTACGGCCAGCGGGTGACAAAAAATTCTCGTCCCTCGTGTCGTCGTAGAATGAAGGCCGACGCCATGAGCAGGCGCTGCTTGGCAGCCAACGCCCTCGCCTTGCTAGCTGTGCCCAACAGAGACGCGTTCGCCGCCGGACTGCGGCCAGCACTGGGGCCTGGCCGATTCAGGGCGACGCGTTTTGAGGGCGAGTACTCCGACCTCCTTCACCCTCTCTGTGATCGAAAAATCGCCGTGGACACCAGCGCCCTCAAGCAGAGCGGCGGTGGCGACTATTTCCTCGCCACCTTCTCCGGCAACGACATCGGCCCACCGGGTGAGGCCCGCCCCCCCCCCCGTCCCGGGGCTACTGTGATAAGCACATGAAGGGGTGCGCCGCGCCCTGCATGAGCCTCAAGCCCTCATCCCGTGATATGTTGTTGTTTGCGAGCACACGCGCCACCCCTCTTGGACGCCTGTGGGAGCGGGTGGCGCTGCCTCTCGCTGTCCTCTCCGTGGCTCGCTGCGAGATATGTTCTCAATATAGGTGTCGGCAATGTCGTCAGGGCCTCCTGCGACGCGGAGAGCGTCTCCCGGTACGGGCTGCGCGATTGGAGCTTCGAGGCGCGCATCTCGCGTGACGGCGAGCAGGCGCGCAAACGAGCAAAGTACGAAGGCAGCACTCGAGATTTATATCATAGAGTCAACGCTGCGTGCCGCAGGTGGATGCCGGCGACGGCGTGCATGTGGGCAGGTGGCACCCGAGGGCTGCTGACGGCGAGGCTTGGGAAGGCATCAGATGGAAAGACGGCAACCGCTGGCTCCTGGAGCAGCAAGCGGCAGAATGACGCCATAGGGCGAGGTCTCCTGGAATGCGTGCAGGCCGTTGTAGCGAGCTACTCTCGAGCGGCATTACTTTCCGCTGATCACATATGTGGGGGCACGTACCACAAACAAGTCGTGCATGCCCGCACAGCGGTGGTTTTGTACAAGAGGGCATGCCGATGCGTGTGTAGAGACTAGAGTCCGTGTGGGTCTGGCACTCAGTGACAGTGTGTGGGCCCCGGTCGCGCCACCCCGCCCACGCCCCGCCCCGCGGCCCGCGCCTGCGTCCCATCGATCGACACGGCACACGCGACACACGCAATACATGTACGTTTTCGATTTCGTCGTGTTTAAATTGTTGGGCAACATTTATGTTGGGAATGTTTTGCACGCCTCGCGGCCCGAGAGGGGCTAGAGGGGCTACGGGGTGTGGAGGGGGTGAGTTGACCAGGGGTTGTGCGCTGGGCCCTCCTGCTCGGCTCCAGCGAGTAGACAAGTGTGTTACCATCTCAACAGAGGAGAAGGATCTGACCTCTCGGGGCCGATGTGACCAAGCGCTGGTAGCGTGGTTTTACCTCACACCCATGGTCTCACAGTGTGCCGGCAGTCCCAGTCGCCGAGCACGCGGTCGGTCGCTCACACAAGCCGCAGCACAAGTGACTGGGGGGCAGTGAGGGCGAGCCCATCGCTGTCACAGCTGTGGCAGCCGCACAGTAGGCTGTGCCATCTGTGCAGAGCGTGTGAGCAGCAGAGTGAGCTGCACTCCAGGCTTCAGGCGCAAAGAGATGCATGCCGCCGAAAGGCGCTGTCGAGGTTCGCCGAGCGCGGCGCAGGTTGAGGGACACCGTCACCGACGAGTGCGTTAAGAGTATTCACGACTCCGGACAAAGACGGCCGCACGCACCCCCCCCTCACCCGACACGAGCTGCGGTCGTGCGGCCGTCTTAGCGGCGAGGCGCGGGAGCACACCTCTACACCCCTGTCACGGGAACCTCTACACCCCTGTGCGCTATATATGCCCCGAATAAAACACACAAAACGGCTTCTAGGTGCGCTCGTGCGCTCTCTCCTCCTGGGCTAAACCAGTGTGGAGTTCCAGTGCACAGAGGCGCGGTGCCCTTGCGTCGTCCAGCTCCTCCTCCGCCGCGCCGGCCGCGCCTCACAGTTCGGCCCTGAGCGTGCCTCCCTCTCCCTCGGCGCGGAGGCTTGCCGCGTTGTCGAGGTGCCCGCGTATGGCGCTCGAGAAGCTACGGTTGCGAAAACACTAGAGTGAGAGGGTGGTAGCCTCGACGCCGTCCCCGCGCCGCCACGGCGCCTGTCGCGCCCCCCCGCCACTGCGTCACGCGCGGTTCTGCCGTCGGCGTCGGTCCTGCTCGGGTCGGCGCCCGCCCTCAGAAGAGAGAGCACCACCTTTGCCTGGCCCGCTCGCGCCGCGAGGTGTAGCGGCGTCGCCCCCGCGCCGTCGGCGGCGTTCAAGTCAGCGCCGGCCTTTCGGGAGCGAAGCGGCGCAGAGCGCGCGGTGAGAAGGGAGGAGTGGGAGAATGGAGCCGAGAAGCCGGCGAGGCGTCAGGGGAGAGTGGCGCACGCCTTGATCAGCAGCTCGACGAGCGCGGGATGCCCGCGCTCGGCGGCCACATGCAAAGGCGTCAGTCCCCTTGCGCCGAGCCCCCTGGCGTTGATGTCGACGCCATCGCGGCCAATCAGGAGCTTGGCTATGCCGCTCGCACGCGAGTTGGAGATGTCTCCACGGGCCTGGTCGCCAGCGCAACGCCTCGCAACCACGTGCAGAGGCGTCTCGTCCGCGCCGTCTCTTGCGCCGGCGTCCGCGCCCGCGTCGAGCAGCGCGGTGACCGTCGTCAGGTCCTGCCGCGCGCGACCACAGATCGCGAGGTGCAGTGGGACATTCCCCTTCTTGTTGCGCTTGTTCAGGTCGGGGCGCACCCACGCGTCCTCGTATTCGTTAAACTTGCCACGGATCGCGACGCGGAGCGGCTCGACCTGGCCCTCTTCGGCTGCCTTGTGCAGGCCGACCCGAGCAGTCTCGGCGATCGGCAGCAGTCCGAGAAGCAGGCGCGGGAAGAAGCGCATATGTACACTTTTGCGTGGGATGAGCGACCTGGTAATACGCAGCAGCCGCGCCGTGAGGTGGCAGGCAGGCGCGAGGTGGCAGAGGCAAGTACCGTCGGGTACTTATTTTAAGAGCAAGTAAACAGCAATAGATCCGGCCCTCAACCGGCCTAATCGGTACCCAGCCCTCACGGAATGAGAGAGAGAGACGTACGTACACGGAATCGGTCCCTCGTTGTACAGCAATCGATCCTTCACAGCTGCCCGCCCTGCCAAACTTGCCGAGAATCGGTCCTCCACATGAATGTTCTGGCATGGAATGTACTGTCGGGTAGGTGTTGAGTGTACCCTTGCATCCCGCCAGTCTGATGTATCTGCTGTGCCGAACGTGCGCGTTTGGCGGAACCTCTCACCTGGTGCGCGTGGCAACGGGTCTGTGGGGCGGCCCCCTGTACCCCCTCCCCCCCCCGCCCGGGTGTTTAGCAATTGGTCCCTTGGCAAGTGCAAATCGGTCCCCCTGGCTCCAGGAACTGATCCGGCACTACACCCGGATCTATTGCTGTTGACTTGCTCTTAAAATAAGTACCCGACGGTACTGTCCACTATGAAAGTGTGAAAAGGTGGGAGCAGCAGCTCGCCTGTTGATAGGTCCAGGTGATAGCCCTGGATGGGCAATGCATACGCCTAGTTGGGCCTCAGATCGCCCGACCGCGTCCCGGTGCTCTGTGGTCGGATTTGTGACGCCGCCGCACCGCGCCGCGGCCGGGGGCCCTCCCTCCGGAGGCCGAGGATTGCCGTGACGGACCGGGACGAGCTCTGGGAGGTTCAGTGTCATCATGTGCACAATATCTACTTCAATATCTCTCAGTCTAGCTAAGCCTGGGAAGGCGATGCCGGGGCCGTACAGCAGCTTGATGGTGCTTCGCCGGCGTGCGTCCTGGAGGCGGAGCGGTGCCGGACGGGCAGTCCGTGGGAGGAAAATGGAGGACAACGCCGACACCGCTCTGATTCGACTTTTAACTTCAAACAAAGACAGTGGGACGCGCCACAGCCACAGGCACAGCGCGGTGCATGCCACTGTCAGTAGCGGATGCGTCAGTTAGTCGTGTTCACGCCGGGATCGTGTCCTCCGCAACCTGGGCAGACTTTAGGCTTGGACAGTATCAGAGAAAAATAGTTAGAGGCTTGCGGCGCCGGCGGCTCGAGCGCCTCGAGGAGGGGGACGAGCCTACCGCGCTCGGACCTCGGCGCCGGCGTAGGAAAACTCTGCCGGCCCGAGCGCCTCAGGCTCGTACTCTGCGCGCGGCGGCCGGATCACAGCCTACGGCGATAGTCGGCGTGGTGGCGATTGTGAAGAGCCGGTTACTGCTAGTCGTGCATGGTTACTGCTAGTCTGCGGCTCCTCGACGAGGGTGTCGTAGACGGCGGACATTTAGAGGCGACAAAGCCGAAGTCAAACTGAAAGCTCGACGCCGTGAAAGAATAACTTTTTTTTTGGAAGGGTTGCCCGGCGCTGCGCGCATTCGAACAGGCTCGACTGCATCTTCGATCGCATCTTCTGCGTATATTTTGCGCCCCTATAGCAGCTCGCGGAGGAGCAAAGGACGCCCGGATTAGCGCTGCGCGCGGCCGATTAAAAAAACGCGCGCTGCAAGTGCTCAGGCTGATAACTGCCAAGTGCTCCAAGTGCGCTTCCACCCGTCCATTCGACGCCCAAGGGTGGGTGACGGCTAACACCACACTCCTCTCCTTAAAATCCACGTGTGGTGGCGGCGTGCCGTCCTCTCCCATCCAGACAAAACCGTTAGGCCTCCGCCCGGCGACGGCCGACGCTGCCTCCGCACCTAGCAGCCTTTCACCCTCAGCCAGGCCGGCGCCGTCTCCGCCTCTATTTATCAAAAGACAAACCCGATTGATTGCGAGCCAACGCGTTCTCAGACGCGTGTACACGCACCCGAGCCCGCGCCGAGCGCGCACATGCCATCCTGGTAGTGAGCACAGGACCGTGGCTCTCCCACGTCATGGATACAGTCACGCTACCTATTTATCGTCCGTTGCGTTTCCCGATTGCGAGCCAACGCGTTCTCAGACGCGTGTAACACGCATCCGAGCCCGCGCCGAGCGCGCACATGCCATCCTGGTAATGAGCACAGGACCGTGGCTTCCCACGTCATGGATACAGTCAGATTAGCGATTCATTCCCGTTGCAGTCTCCGATTTGCGGTTGCGCCGTCGACCCTGGGGGCCGTACATGGAGCTCCATACCACTTAGCGACACGCGGTCCGCGTCGGCCTATCGATCGGCCTCGAGGGTAACGGTGCCGCGCATCGATCGGCCCCCTCGAGACAGCCGCGCAAGGGCCCAACTCTCACGCGCACGCGAAGTAGTCCGGCTCTCGGTCCGGCACGGGGACGGTGGAGAAGAGCAGGTCGCGGGTCGCCCCGCCGAGCACGTACACGGCCGCCTCGTAGCCCAGCGACTCATAGTACTGGCCGATACACTCGCCGCCGCCGCAGCCCGCGCGGTCGTGCTTTCCGGCGCAGCAAAGCCCCGTGAAGGTTCCGTCGTCCTTTGCCTTGACGGTGGCACCCTTGTTGGAGGGCTGGCCTTGGAAGCACCTGTGAAGGGGGGGGGTGGGGGGGGGAGACCGCGGGTGGATCGCTCGTGGCGCCGCGCGCGTGTGTGTCGCTGTGGCTGTTCGCACGTTGGGTCGAGGAGCTTGTTGCCCCAGAAGGTGAAGTTGCCGTCCGAGTTTTCGGTGAAATTGAGGATGGTCATCATGCCCCAGTCCTGGATCGGGGAGGGGGAGAGTCTCAAGACGCCGGCAGGCGGGCTCGCCCAGCACCTGGAGACTGGGCGTGGCTGCCTCGTGGTCGAGTACGTGGCAGTGAACGACCTGCCGCGAGACGAACGTGTCCACCTGCAGGCAGGCGCGGACCAAGCTGAGGTAATGGCCGCGGTATGCTCGGCGAGCGACTAGTATTGGTGAGTAGAAGAGGCACACGTTGGCGCGGACGACGTGCGTAAGGTTGTTGGCCGATTCCTTGTCCGTGAGCCCGTCGGGACTGTGCTGTTCCTCCGCCGCCTTGTTGTGGCACCAGTTTGGCGGCACCTGGCAATATTGTATTACGACCTAGTAAAGGGTTTTGATCAGGGGGCGAGACGGGGCCCTGACCTGGGGTGCTGCCTGGAGCGTGTCGTGCCAGTCGCCAGCCTGAAAGTACGGCTCACCGAGGAAGTTCGAGAGGTTGTAATGCTTGCGCATCGTCTTGAACTCGTCATACCCCGTCTGGAGCTGGAATGGGATCACGTGCCTGCGCATGAGCGGGTGGCCGTCATCTAACACGTGTCTCAGGAACGTCTTTCTGGCAGTGCGCACCAGTGGAACGCGTGATCGAAGACGCCTTTGATGTTGAACTGAGAGAGGCTTCCAACCTATAAAGGGGGGGGGGGGGTTGGTGGCGGGTGCGTCGTTGGGGCGGTTCGAATGGGTGCGGGGGTGAAAGCCTGCTCGCTGAACATCGGATGTTCGTGAGAGAGAGCGTGCTCGTCGTACCGCTTCTTGTTGATGGTGAAAGGAGAAAATGCGCTGCCATCGGAAAAGAATTTGCCATCGGCAGAGTCAGGACCGGGCCCAAAGTGGAGCTCGAGGTTGCCGTCTTGCGTCAGGTCCTACAACGTCGAAGACCACGAGGGAGCAGTCAACGGGGCGGGAGTTATATCGATTCGGGAAGGACGGGAGGAAGCCGCCTCTTCGTTGATCAGCTTGGTGGCGTTTTGCAGGTTCGCGAGGTCTACAGTTGGACACGGCAGCGGTGTTTGTTGCGGGCGGGGCGGGGCGGGGGGGGGCGGGCGGGGGCGGGCGGGGGCGAGGGCGGGGGCGCGCACAGCACGGGCGGGTCACTGTAAACTTCGGGAGCGTGCACGTGGGCGCTGGAACCCCTTGGACGATTTCCATGTACATGAGCGGGATCGTAATCCTGCCCTGCGCCTTTGCGAGGAGCGTCTCTCGGACCACCGAGGCGTCCGATTTGTTCGCCTGAGTAATCAAAATTCCGATTCAGTCTCACAACCGGACCGCGCGTCTCCCGGGATCGCGTGAGCGCACGTGTGGGATGGCGTCGGCGGCATTGCACACGACATTGGTGACCTTGTTGTGCTTGACATCCTCGTCGTTTTGGTTGTAAAGGAGCCCGTCGAGAAGAGTCGGATTCGGGTACTTGTTCGGGTCAGGCTCAGTGCACCTGCGGCAAGTTGGGACGCTGAGAGCGAGGCGGGGAGGGCACCAACATGCGCGGTCGGTCGGCGAACTTGATGAGGAGATCCGCACGGTTGCCGAGCCCAAGGAAGGCGTACTTGACCGGTCGTGGCCTGAGCAAGAGGCGGAAGCAAAAGTGTTAGATCTCAGACCCAGCGCCACTCTGGCTTGCGTGGTTAGGGCGAGTGCTAATTGTGTCGATTGGCAGAATGTAGAGCACGCACGCGTCGTGCAGGTAGACGCCATCCTTTGCGAGGAGTTGCGCCTCGCAGAATTCCGGGAAGACGATGTACATCTGGTCTGTGATCTGCGCAGCAGAAATCGGGCGCTGGTCAACGCAGAGATCTCTTGCTAGATCGGACGTCTCTCGCAGGCACCGA